TTGAAGCCTTGAGCAACTAATCTGGTTTTGTATCTTGCTATGGAACCATCAGTGTGATATTTAGTTATGAAAATCCCCTACACCCTAATATGTTTTGAGTATGAGGGTGGGACAAGAGCTCATATGCCTTGCTTTTGTAAAGCTGTAAATTCTCTAGACATTTCCTTTTACCAGTGAGAGTGTTAAATAGATTGATTGTAAGTATATGGTGCTTTTCTAGAAGTAGTAGTATGGTGAAGATAAAAAATTTATGTTGATTTTAAAATGTTTGTTTGTCGTCTAATGACCATGAGATCTTGTTTGGTTTGTGAGGTAATGTGAGCATTGTGTATGTGTGTTCATCGTGTTAATGTGTCGAGTGTAACAATGATGCTTGGAGTGACGAAGTTTGCATGTTGTGTTCTTTAATAGAGGTATTGGAGTTGAATGTGTAGGTGTTGTGTGGTAGTCATAATATAGGATTGAGTGGTTCAACAAGGGATTGTGAATGGTTATGGGAATGGGAAAATCGGAGGTAGTGTTAGTGAGAATAATAGATGTGAGGATAAGTAGAGAGGGTGGTAACATAGTATTCTAAATGTAAGGTTTGGTAGTAGGTTGTTGAGAGAGTTAATGGTAAGAAAAAATAGTCTTCAATAAAGGTAATGTGTTGTGAGATAAGAGATTTATTAACCTGAATATCCAAACATGTATGCCCTTTGTGTTGTGGATTATACCCTAAGAAGATGCATTATGGTGCTTTTGGATAGAGCTTGTCAGAAATATTTTGTAGTTGCCTGGGAAAACATAGACACCTAAAAGTGTAAGGTATTGATATTCATGTTTTGTTTTGTGTAATAATTGAAAAGGAGACCTTTTTTGTGGGGTTGTAGAGGAAAGTCTATTTATTAAATAATTAACAGTTCGAATAGCTTCCATTCAAAATTGGATAGAAAGGTGAGCTACATTGAGAAGAGTTCTAGCAGTTTCTACAAAATGTTTATTTTTTCTTTATGCAATGTCATTTTTTTAAGGGTGTGTGGGCAGTTTAATTGATGCATGATGTCTTGATCTTGTTGATAAACTCTATATGTATTTGACATATATTCACCTCCTCCATCAGTTCTTAGTTATTTTATATTTGTACTGAATTGATTTTAAAACATTTTACGTAGAGAAATAAACTGTAATGTGGTTTCAGATTTATGTCTTAAAGGTTTGCACCCAAAAAAAATGAGAGAATGAATTAATAAAAGTAACATAATATTTGTAACCTTCTATAGAAGAAATACGAAAGGTCTCCAAATATATGAGTGTAACATTTCTAAAATGTCATGGGTTGTAGACTACAAGAAAAATTTAATTTATGATTTCTATTTTAATAATAATCATGACATGGTTGAGTAGAAATGGGGATTTTGAGGTAAGTGTGAGAGAGATCATGGACAAGACTTGCTTGTGATGGTGTCTCAATCTTTGATGCTAAATATTTGAGCTTTTGAAGTGTTCAAGGTTGTGATATGGTATAATCCTTGATCAACTATTTCAATAATGGTTTTCTTGGTTGTTGAATCTTGAAGTTGAAACTTGTTTGCACTAAAAATTGCTTGAAAATTCTTATCTTTTGTAAGCTTATTAATTGATATAAAATTATGAGAGAGGTTAGTTATTCTAGAGATAGGGGAGAGTTTAAGCTTAATGTTTGGTGTTGGAAGAATGTCTTTACCAACATGGCTGATTTTAGTGTTTTGACTATTGCTAACCTTCACATGGGCCATGACTTTTGTAGTGAGTTGGTTATCGTAAATTTCTCATATATATGGGGTGAGATGTGTTGTTAGTCTAGTATACACAACTAATTTATGTGTTTCGGCATTAAGTTGAGTGTTGGGTGCAATAACTTATGTTATGGAGTTTGCTTTGTATTGAAGATTTGTAAGTGGCTGAATGACTCAACTTGTTACAAATTTGATACATCACAATTGTTTTGGGTTTTACCTGTTGTTGTTATTTTGATATTTGTTATTTGTGAAGTTCTTATTGAAGCTCCTTTGATTTTGTGACCCTCCTTTGCTTTTATATGTCAGTAAAGCTAAATGTTGGGTTGTTTTGATTGATTAGCTTGCCAACTTGCATTTCTTACTATGTAATAATGAATACAGATCTTCCAAGCTTATTAGGTTCAGTTGTGTTTGAATGCAGCCTTGAAACCTTCATGGCTTGGTGATAAATTATTTAAAGTATAAAAAATTATATCTTCAATATTATTTTTGGAACGAGCGATTGTAATATTGTCCACCAAATTCTTGATGACAATGCGATATCAAGTCATTGTGTTTGCTCCCATAGTAATGTTGTGAAGTTCATTCTTGAATTGAATGATTATTGATCAGTTTGTGAATTAAAATCTCTATTCTAAGTTGCGTTATATTTCAATTGTATTTCTTCGGTGAAGGATATATGGGAGAATTGATGGGGAAATGGGAAGAAAATTTATGTCTATGAGTTGTCATAAGAGATAATCTTAATTTTCAATCGAGGTTCCAGTCTCATCTTGAATGATTCTTGCAGGGAATGGAAGTGTAATGTACAAAAAAGAGTCAAATCCATTAGCTATAAGGATTTTTAATATTTGCATATTCCATACAAGATAATTTTCTTGTGTTAGAGATATGTTGACCATATTCTTCATGTGAGAAATCAAGAATTTTAATGATGTTTAGTATATTTATCTTCTTTATCTTGTTGGAAGATGTTGTGGATTATTGATTTGCTTGTGTTGAAATTGAGGAGATTGAATCAATACTTGTTGTTAAGCTTCTGTAACTCTGATACCATAAAGAGGCTCAACGGAAAGGAGATGAAAAGTAACAGAGAAAATGAAGATGAAGAAGGTAGAAGAGAACAAGGCATAAATAAAAGATCAGCGGAGAAGTTTACAGACATAGGTATATATATATATATATATACCCCATATCAACTGGAATATATATATGTGTGTGTGTGCGCGCGCGCGCGTTCTTTTTGTTATGAACTATACCAGTTGATATGGGGTATATATATATATATATATATATATAAATCAAACAGAAGAACGATCGACGAAGCGAAAATAGAACGAGAAAAATCACACCAGAAAATAACAACAAAGCGAAACACACAGATTTACGTGGTTCGACAAATAGTCTACGTCCACGGAGTTGCAGAGGATTTTACTACTTAAGAAAATTTACAACAGTCGATCACCTCATAAGAGGAATCGCTCACTCTTTGTTGCTCCTCTCTTCTTCTATCTCTTTTCTTCTCTCTCTACACCGAGATACACCGAAAAAGACAAACTTACAAGAGAAATAAACTCAATTTCTCTTCTGTCACAAGCCACTAAGAAGAAATCTAGGGATAACACTCTTTTCTTTTTCCTTCTTCTTTCTTCACCGCAAGGAACTACCTCTTGCACTTTCCTTCCTCTGGTCCGAGGAAACCCAAAGAAGAAACACCGTGACTTTTCGTAACAACAAGATTTGAAGGAGAGCTTCTCCTTTTATCACGAAGAGAAGGAAGCGAAGGGATGCTTCGCTTCGCGAAATAGAGGAGGCGAGAGTGATTTCTGGCAAAGAGACGCGAAATAGAGGAGGCGCGACTGTTCGCGTGCGCGGGAGATGGGAGGTGGAGAAGGGATTGCAATCGGGAGAGGAGCGAGCGCCGATTCGCGAATTAGAGGAGATGGGAGCGTGAGTGGCGAAATCGGGCTCCAGCCCTAACACTTTTACATGGCAAAGTTGTGATTTAAAGATACCAAATAGTCTTTTCACAAACGTTATATACTAATATAAAAACTATTTTCCTTGCAGTTGAATCTCTAACTGATAAACAACAAAGGTAATGTCTAAACAAGCGAGAGAGTTGAAGAGCTCTTCCCATATGATCCTAAAATTACTCTATTAAAAAAGGTAAAAGAGATGTTTATGCATGTGATCAATAAAGGATAATGCGGTCTTAAAAAGAATCTTAAGAACTATATTTTTCAGAGTAGGGGTATAAAGTTTTAGTGAAGTGAAATTCTCTCATATTTTTCAGAGTAGGGGTATAAAGTTTTAGTGAAATTCTCTTATGTTATCTTTCTCTTTGTTCTGTTGATTGTATGCTAAAAATATGAATAATTACATACAAAAAATTTAAAAAAATGATATTTATAAATCAAGCACCGACGTGACCTTTTGAACAACTGAATCGATGCATTTACACTTGTCACGATAAAACCAACGAGAATTTGATTAAAATGGATGAAAAAGAGTGTTTGATTTGCAAATATTAATATTTTATGTGTTATGTTGGGTAATTATGCCAAAAATAATATTATCTTAATCAATTTTTTTTAGAGAGTTCATTATATCCTAAGTTCATGTACTGATGAACACATTCACGTGCAGCATATGAGAATTAGTAGTATTTGATAATATTATGAGAATATTTTATTATAACGTCACAATAAATACCATAAAATATCATCAAATTCACGTACATCTTATCCGCAAGCAAGATTCTTTTTGTTTCTTGGGAAGGCATCTATCAATTAGATGCCTGAATTTGTCTAAAGAGAATAAAAAATTGTGTTTAGAAAGATTATTCAGAAGATATTGGAGGGTTATATCTACGTTATACTTTCTTGTAACTTCCATGTAACATACTTATAACCTAAAAATAAGTTTCGTGTTTCTATTTTCATATATTTTTAGGTTATAAGTAAGTTACAAGTAGGTTACAGGAAAGTTAAAAAAGATATAACGCGAATATAACCCTCCATAACCTCTGTATAACCTCCTGACATACGTATGTAATACGCATTTCTTTCTAGGGAAA